CTCGGCGGCGGCTCTGTGACGGCGGACAGCCGGGTTGGGACGGGCGCGGACCGCGGAACGACGTAAAGTTCGCGGCCCAGACCAACTTGAACCACTCGGCGAGGGCGCAAAATATGCTGTTGCAGTGCCTCGCCGAGTGGGGGGGGGGAGGGCTGACCCCTATTGGATCTCAGAGGGTCGCCCTAACTGGGCCGGGGACACTCTGGGAAGGGTGACGATGGTCTGCCAGCGCAACACCCCGCCGATGATACCCATATCGGCGGAGGAGGGGTTCACGCTCGTTGAGTAGGAACCAAGCAGGGTGCTACTTCCCCCCTCGCTTAAGCAGGGGGGGAGTTTTAGGAGTCGCTGGGGGAGCATATTAGCAGACGCTCTCCCAGGCCTATCATATTGGGAGGGGATTTCAACGCCCACTCGGTTGAGTGGGGATCCTCGACCACTGACTCCAGTGGCGACTGCACCCTGCATTGGGCGGCGTGGCTTGGCCTAATACTTTTAAACCAGGGGCCCTATTCTTGAACCAGTTGCGTATACGCAAGTAACAAGTTGCGAATACTCGCAACGAAAAATCCCTAGGTCTCTATTCTTGAAATAGTTGCGTATACGCAAATATCAAGTTGCGAGTAATTGTAACAGAAAATCTCTAGAGCAGTATTCTCGACACTCGTAAGTACTGTCGTATACGCAATATATCATTCGTAATGCAACGAATGGGTTACCCCATACTTTTCTCTTACGTATACATTAATTACCTTATATCATTATGCGGTCCGCTCAGTTTCAGCCTTTGGGATAATATTTTGGAAGAAGAAGAAGAGAGACTGCGTCGAAAAGACGAGGTGAGTAATGTTAATGTATGTGTACATCTTAATAATTAATAAATAAATATGTATACAGGGTGTTTCCAAATTAAATGGCAAAACTTCGGGAGCGTGTAGAGGAGTAAAAAACTAAGAAAAAAAGTCCTATAGACATATGCTCGTTTTTGCTCCGTTTCAGAGAAATCGAAAAAAAATGTTTACATTTCTTGCCATATCTAGCACCGACATATTTGATTACATTTTCCACTTTCTGTTATGAATTTGTCAGTCGCTCTTTGAAAGCCTTTAACAGTAGATGAATTTTGTCTTTTGCAATATGCCGCGTACGTATTCTAATAGTGAATATGCTGATATGGTTTTTGTATACGGTTTCTGCAACGGTAATGCTTTAAAGGCGGTGCGAGAATATGCACGACGATTTCCAAACAGAAGAGTGCCAAACCGAAGAGTGTTTATGTTGACATTTAATAGATTGCGAGAGACTGGAACATTTTCAATTCGACAAGAAAACAACCGATTTCAAGCAGCGTTACGAAGAGATTTGCAGGCAGGGAATCGTATTTTACAACATTTTGACAATCATCCTGAGACCAGCGTTCGGAATGCGTCGGCTGTATTGGGAGTGTCACCACAAACAATTTGGCGAACTGTAAAAGGAGATAATCGCTA